TCCAGATATTTCTTATTTATAGAAAGCAGGGCAATTGATGGGAGATCCTGTCAGAAATTTACTTGCAAGTGAAAAAGGCTTTTGTACTGGACTTGCAACTTTTCTGTRAGTTTAAAAATGTTAAAGAAAATTATATTCTTTGTTTTAATAATTCATGCCAGGATATTATACTAATAAGACAAATATGGATGGTTTCAAAGATTTGCAAGAAGAAAAATCACTTAAGCTGTGTCATGTTAGTAAATTGGTGGGGAAAACACTTAGCACCTAACAGAAGGTAAATTATTTTAAAACTATTATTATGCTTCTACTATGGAGTACTGCACAGCCACAAAAAATGATTTGGTCAAGTTATATTTACTTCCATATATAGAAGTTCATGATATGTTAAGTGAAAAGGATTATAAAGTGATACTATGATACGATAAAGTTTTTTTTTTTCAAAATCCTGTCTATTTAAGGGTAGCATTAAAAAAAAGATTTCCATTAAGATTAGGAACAAGATAGGTCTGACCTATAGAATCATCTCCATTCAACATTACCTTGGAGATTATAAAGTAAGAATTAAAAAAATTAAACATTGGAAAAGGTAAGTAATCCCAGCAACTCAGGAAGCTTCGGTAGGAGGATCATAAGTTTGAAGTCAGATTCAGTAACTTAGTGAGTCTCATAGTAACTTAGCAAGACTGTCTCAAAATAAAAAAAAATAAAAATAGGCTGGGGATGTGGCTCAGTAGTAAAGTGCCTCTGGGTTCAATCCCCAGTACTTAAAAAAAAATATTTAATTTCTGTAATTAAAGCCTTTGTGAAATAAATATAGAAATATAGAAAACTAAGAAACATCTGGGTGTGGTGGCATATGCCTGCAATCCCAGTGACTCAGAAAGCTGAGACAGGAGGATTGCCAAGTTTAAATCCAGCATCAGCAACTAAGCTAGTCTCTAAGCAACTTACAAGATCTTGTCTCAACATTTAAAAAATAAATAAATAAAAAGAGCTGGAATGTGGCTCAATGGTTAAGTACTCCTGGGTTCAACTCCCAGTACCAAAAACAAACAAACATAAATTCTTAAAATTACAAATGCCCCAAACTAAATTTATTAATATTTAACTACTGACCAATAGTTATCTTCCAGTTTAATGTCAAATATATCAAAGCCTCTTTCCAGCGAGGCATGGTGGTGCACACCTATAATCCCAGCAGCTTGAGAGGCTGAGGATCCCAAGTTTGATGTAAGTCTTAGCAATTAGCAAAAAAAGTTCTCAATTGGCAAAAAAAGTTCTCAAAATAAAAAATAAAAAGGGCTGGGGAAATAGCTCAGTAGTGTAATGTCCCTGGGTTCAATACCCAGTAGTGGGGAAAAAAAAAAAAAAGCCTCTTTCCTCTTTGTCTCCAATGATTTAAACAAAGATTAAACTAATTTTTTTTTATCTATATGCACTAATAAGTAGTATGTTTTATGGTTTTAAATCAGTTTCCCTCTTTCATCTGATCTCCAATTTTGGAAGGAACTTGTTTTCAACTTTAAGTTCAAAATTGGTTGTTTGTTTGGAACTCAACTAATTTCCCCTAGAAATCCTAACAGTAGTGAAGTTTCCTGCTTAGCTTAGAAAGGAGCTAATTTAACCCATAATGCACACATTAGAACCAAATTCGAACCAAATTCTCATTGACAAAAATGTTAATAAGGATAAAATACCTCTAGTGTTCCAATGTGAGAAGTCAAACACATGCCTTCTTACTTCAATTTCCTTTTTCCCAACCACTCAACTCAAGAATACTAAGAAAGGACAGATATTTCTAACTTTTCTCACTCTCAAACCCTGGCATGGCTGGTAGCGTCCTAACCTGAGAGGCAGTAGCAGTACTAGGATATAGTTATGTTACTCTTCACTCTGCCCAGTGCCGAAGAGTGAGGAAAACAGGTAGAATTAGAAAGTTCATATATGTCTGTATATACATGATAAATTCATATATATTCACAGATTCATTCACCTATATACTCTTCCACTCTATAAATGTTAGGCTTGGACATGTGGCAATGGAACATAAGTGAAGTGAGCTATATTCCACACATCTAAGCAGTGGGGGGTTTTTTATTTTTGTTTATTTATTATCTTTCTTTTTTTAAAAAATTTGTTCTAATTAGTTACACATGACATAGAATGCATTTTGACACATTGTACACAAATGGAGCACAACTTCTCATTCCTCTGGCTGTACATGGTGCAGAGTCTTAATAGTAGTGTAATCATACATGTATATAGGGTAATAATTTCTGTCTCATTCTACTGTCCTTCCCAGCCCCACTCCCCTCTGCACAATCCTAACTTCCTTCCTTCTTCCCTTGACCCCTGGGTGTTTTTGTGTGTGTGTGGATTGATTGATTGATTGATTCATTCATTCATTCATTTATTTATTTATGGTTTTGAACCCTGGGGCTCAAGAGATCCTTCCACCTCAGTTTCCCAAGAGCTGAGGCTACGGACTGATGCTTGCCACAATGTTT